CAGATAACTTCGCTACCTCCTGTACCCTCATTGTACTCATTGCTTCATTCCTTTGTGTGACAAAAACAGGATGCAACTTCTTGGGGTGGCAGGAATAAGTAAATCCAAGCACAGTCATGGATAGGTCAAAATGGGACATGGAGGGGGAAACTGGCTCCTCAAGTACCACACTGCATTTAGCATGCATCTTCTTAACTAAAAGAATAGGTTTGCTGATTTTGAAACCCTTGCTTAAAAAGCCACATGCAGAATAAGAATTTGAGGGGCTAGGGCCAAGAATGGGGAAAGGCGGCTGCATGGAACATCTGCATGAACCTGGCTGGTTCAGTTAGTAGAACATGGCACTCTTTATCCTAGAGTGTTGGGTTCTTCCCTATGTTGGATATATATGATTTTCCATATGATTGTAACTTTTTTTCTAAAACCAAAACCAAAAAAACCCTATGCTGATTGTTGAGACAATCCTGCATAAACTCTTTTGTGAGTTCTGTGAACTGCCCTGAGACCTCCAGGTATAGGATGGTAAATAAATTCAAATAATAATAATTTAAGATGGTAATAGATTGTTTGTCTTTGGGTGAATCCTATGTTAATATTAAGGTTGTTATGTTCTTCTATGTATCCATGTCACACATTTTGACATATGATACCATCTTGATGAAATGTTATGCAGCCTGCTTAGATGTTTATACACTAATGTTGTATCTACAAGATTCACACAAACTCCTGTACTTGCTACAGAACATTTTTTTCAACACTGAAGCATCAGCCACTAAATCAGTAACTCAAACTATTGTCTAGAAGGTTGCTAATCCTTCATTTCACATAGCTGCTTAGATCCTTGTAGACCTTTGCACTCTTTATGTTAAGCTAATATAAGATAGAAGCAAAAGGCTTTGTCTTGATGACAGATAGTTGGATGGTAAACCTCTAAGGAATAATCTAAATGGTGTAGGAACTTGTGAGGCATATCTCACCCTTCCATTTAATTCCTGCATAAGCCAAAGCCAAGCATTATGTTTTAGAGCTTCTGTAGACTGAGATGTAAAACCAAGGTCCTGACCACTTGTAGCTGTTAAAATTCCTATGGGACTCATCATAGAAGTATAAGATGTTAATCTTAATATCCTGGCCAAATTCCAAAAGGGATAATTGCATTCTTCCTACCTAAATTCTCCCTGCAATTTCAATTAGTTCTGGTATTCTTCTTCACTTCCTTTTCTATGATGGGATGCATTCTATACTATGAAGCAGTTGTTGCATTTCATTCCAGAAGTGGCTGTATTTCAGTAACTGATTAAGTGATCACTGTGTATAAACTGTAGGCACTATTGAAGGAAGTGGAACATTTGATTATACAGCTGTAAATTATTTACATTTTCAAGTAAAAGAACAAGGTAGCAATGATAAAGTGCAAAATTAGCAGCAGCAGATAAAACAATAGAGTGGGAGTAAGAAACTGTTTTATAGTTCCATCCTCCTCATTTGCTTGCTGCTAGCTGGACCAAGCAGGATAGCCAGCAGGCATCAGTGTACATAACACCACCTGGATAAGATGGAGGTTCTATTCCTGCTGTAAATATTATGTCTTATTTTTAAGCACTGTTGACTTTAATTCACCTGTCCTGCCACCCATTTCTCCTTCTTGCAGCTACCAGCAAAACATGAGCTACTGTGCTTTGAGGTGGGAATTGCCCTCTGACAATGTGGTGCTAAACTGCTCACTTTTACAAACTCAACGTAGAAAGCTGAAATTAGACAAGCAATCCTCATCCTGCTGGTCATAAGTCTGAAAGGCCTAAAAGTGATCAAGAGATACAAGAAACAGTTACTCATTTTAAATAATTTGTGTGCATACGTTTTAGAGAGCCATGGCCTGGTAATCTAACAGTGCTCAGAGTACAGTAGCGCAAGAGTCCTAAGCTCCAGGGAGAGATGGATAGCTTACTGCTCACTCAACCTTGTGCAACAGTACACTTGTCCTGTAGCGCTGACTTTGTTCCAGTCTTGCCATGTATGGCAACATCCACAGGTTTTGGTGTTACACTTGGGAAGCAAAGATTTGGGGTTATTGAAGGGCAGGGCCTTTAGTCTTACAAGCTGCATGGACATCATGTTGATTCAGCAGTGATGACCTCGGGTGGTCATCTTAAGGTTGAAAATGTCTCCCCTAGAGGTTATGGAAAGGTGGTATTGAAACTAAGAGTTCAAATAAAGCAATCAACAAAAAAAGCAGGGAACTGCAGCTGGCCCTGGATAGGTCTGATGGTGCAATGGTACCTCACCCCAATGTTACAACAGTCTGGGAATGGATTTCCAGCAAGTGAGTGTAGAGGAACTAAACAGAGGCTTAACCCAATTCTGTGGCAGGTAAGTTTGGGAAACGTTAATGGGAGATGAGGGAACAGGTGATGACCCTTAGACACATTTGCAGGTGAAGGATTTTTCTGGGGGCCAGAAATATTATTGAGGCCAACCTGCCGCACCTGCAGAGATGGGAAGGCCTGGAAAAAACCAGAAAAATTTGGGAGGGGCAGGTTTTCCCCCCCAAAGCCATTTTTACCAGAAAAAAAAGTCTGGAATATTCAAACTATATCAAACTGTTTTTTTCAATTTTTCTGGAAACTAGATCTTCCCATCTCTAGTTGTGGGGCCCAGGAACATGGGGTAGGAAGGCCTTTCTGCTCATAAGGTTGGGCCCAGGCTTTGGAGCTGGGCTTCTCATTTGTCAGTTGGCAAGGCATGATTTGGTTTATCCAAGCTTCCCAGACTTGTTATTTCTGCTGCAGATGTTCTTAATAAGATGTGGCCCCAGTTTAAGCCATTTCATTCAACCCATCTCTATATTTTTGAATCCAGTTGCAATTGTCCTGTGGTTCTTGCAGCTGAGGTTTGAGGCTGGATGAGTGTGAAGCTTCTCTTCTAGATGTGTAATCTCAGCCTATGTAGGGCTTCACTTGTGCTTGATCTGGAAGCTGCAGTTACAGGAGTGGGAAAGACTCTGTCAGCATATAACACCTGTGCTCAAAGATCTGTACTAGTTGCCAATTTGCTACTGGGACAAGTTCAAGGTGTTACTATTTAGTTTATAAAGCCCTTAATAACTTGGCCCAGTTTACCTGCAAGATTGCTTTACCCCATATATGCCCACTCAGCCACAACGATCTGCAGAACTACAGGTGCCGCATAATGCTCATTCTGCATTTGTAAGAAATTGATCTTAGTGTGGCTGTAGCCACACTTTGGAACTCCCTGCCTAATGACATCAGACAGGTATCTTCACTATGTTGTTTTCAGAGCCTGCTGAAAACATTTTTGTTTAAAACAAACCTACTCAAATATGTAGAATATTTACATTTATTTACATATTTACGGGACGCGGGTGGCGCTGTGGGTAAAACCTCAGCGCCTAGGACTTGCCGATTGGAAGGTCGGCGGTTCGAATCCCCGCGGCGGGGTGAGCTCCCGTCGTTCGGTCCCAGCTCCTGCCCACCTAGCAGTTCGAAAGCACCCTTAAAAGTGCAAGTAGATAAATAGGTACCGCTTTATAGCGGGAAGGTAAACAGCGTTTCCGTGTGCTGCGCTGGTGCTGGCTCGCCAGAGCAGCTTCGTCACGCTAGCCACGTGACCCGTAAGTGTCTTCGGACGGCGCCGGCTCCCGGCCTCTAGAATGAGATGAGCACACAACCCTAGAGTCTGTCAAGATTGGCCCGTACGGGCAGGGGTACCTTTACCTTTACCTTACATATTTACAAGGATCTGCTTCCATTATCAACCTCTTATAGTTTGTAATATTGAGCAGTATTCAGTTATTGAATGAATGAATGAATGAATGAATGAATGAATGAATGAATGAAAATGAAGCAATTATTACTTGTTTTCTCTGAATTGGGAACCATAGCCAGCACAACCCAGTTTTTCAGTTCTTGTCAAGTAAGCATGAAAGCTCTGCCCACTATGATGGTCCAAACACTCTAGCCATGCTCAGTGCCAGTCAACAAGCTTGAGACTGAGAACCCTCGCAAGGAAAAGTGTTGAATTAGAAAAAATAATAGGATATTCAAAACTAGCTAAACACAGACAGTGTCAAAGGGAACAAAGCTCAGTGCTGAACAATATTGTAGAGATGGATTCAGAAGGACTGTGAATGTCTATGTTTATGTGTTATTAATGTTATGTTCCAAATATATTGAAGTACAAATGCTGATATAAAATATCATTTCATTGAAAGAAAGTGACAGGAAATGTTTGTATTGCTTACTTAATATGAAAATAAAGATCTTGACATTTAAGTGATAGCGAAGTCATCAAGGGTTTACAGTGGTACCTTGGGTTAAGAACTTAATTTGTTCTGGAGGTCTGTTCTTAACCTGAAACTGTTCTTAACCTGAAGCACCACTTTAGCTAATGGGGCCTCCTGCTGCCGCTGCGCCGCGGCGGTGTAATTTCTGTTCTCATCCTGAAGCAAAGTTCTTAACCCGAGGTAATATTTCTGGGTTAGTGGAGTCTGTAACCTGAAGCGTATGTAACCTGAGGTACCACTGTATTTGCAGCTAGAAAATCATATGGAATTTGTGTGTGTCCCCCTCCAGTATGTCTTCATCGTTTCAATGTGATATAAAGCATTTATACATTCTTTACAACCTAGTTCTATTTAATTCCCTCTTATTTTAATTATTCACAACCACTTCATTGGGTTCTCATAAAGAATAGCTTACTGAAATTACGAGGACTTGTTCTTATGGAGAGCTAGTGATCATCTTACTGTTTTTATTGCTTGTTCCTTTATCTACTTCCACTTTTTAAACTGCAATCCTGAATAAAAAGGGAGGATGTAATTCCCAGTGAACACAATGAGACTTCCTTCCATACCCAGAGCTCTGTGGTTACCTTGGCTCTCTTTTTAGTTCTTTGCATTTTATGGCAGTTTCTCTCTGTTTTCTTTTTGTTCTGTACAAATACATGCTTCCAAATGGGGATTTCTTATTCATAATTTTCAGATCTGACACCTTCCAGAGGAGTAAGACAAAGCGCTATGATCTACTATCACGGTGTGAGCTGTGGAAATCTATGCAGTCCATTGCCAAGAATGAGCATCACAGGAAGCAGGTACTTTCAGTTGAACTAAATTTAGTAAAACACACATTGAATTTAGTATTGAAATACAGCAGTTAATAATATTTTAGGAAGGTGTAAGGAATAGATTCAGAGCAACTGGAAGGACGGCTCTGAAGCATGTACTGTTGAACTTGGGTGATGCCCAATATGTTGGTTGCTGCTTGGCACTGATAGTAACTGAATAAGGTCAAAAGTTCTGTATGTTTTTTCTTCTCATCTGAGGCCATCGGCCAGCAGCCGTAATAGCTGTCAGCTGTGATGAGAAGTAGGGGCTGTAGGAAGAGTACATCAGTACAGACCCATCCCAAATCCTAGAATAGGCTACTCTACTTAGTCATTTATACTTTACTTCTTGAAGCACTGCAGGACTGTGGGAATTTTCACCTTCACTGGAACCTCAGAGCCAATTCATGACATCATATTAAACATATGACTTCTCACAGAAGTGCCAAAAGTTACAACTTGCTGGCCATAGCTCTGTAAAGTTAGAGTCATGCTACATATGATTTATACTATGCAAATCTCCAGTCAAACTCCCCAAACATTATGATAATAGCAAGAGCGAGAACTAGAATTTACTAAACAAATTGGTGATTTTTTAAAAGAGGGTTTGTTTCTCAGGATTTAGAATTATGTCTTGAAGTACATGTGTGTGTCTCTTTGAGAGAGAGAGAGAACAAAAAAATGTGGATAGGAGTGTATTATAAGAACAGAGCATAGAAGTACCGATAGGCTTTTTGAAAGCCATATAACTCAGTGTTTGATGATGCTTTGTTGGAAATCACACCTATCCCAGACCACTTCTGTTGTGTCTGTTTTTAGGAGCAGTTGCTTATACATTAATCTTTGATCACCTAGAGAGCAAGCCTAATTTCTGGGTGGGGAGCAATGGGGTTCAAATCTGAAGCCCTGTCACTTGCATTGGTCAGAGCAGAAGGGGGGGCAGTATTTTACTTTTTTACTTTTTTTTGCTGTACCAGTACCAAAGTGACTTTGCAGAGAAATTGAAATTGGGTCCCCTCAGGCTACTGGACCATCTTAACACTCAGTAGATTCATGGGTGACTCAGCTCTCTACCTCATTCCAGTTCTTGCTCTACCCTGCTTTGTGGGCCTTACACTTGCTACATGTGGCAGTAGTCTGTCCAGAGCCTGCATTATTGGTGGATGTAGGAAAGACCTCTGTCCTCTGTTAGCAGAGCTAATCAAAGACTGATGGAAAAAATCTGTCCCCACAAAATGCTCTGCCCCAAAGTGTTTCTCCTGCATTGCTAATATGTCAGTCTTAATTTTCCACAATTTATAACTGAGAGTAAATTACAATCAATGAGTACTGAACATTGTCAACAATTGATGGCGTTAAAAACTGCGTCTTTCATTCTTTCTCAGTTCAATGCCACAGATGCATTACTTTACATTATAGAAAATAAAAATGAAATATTTCTGAGTAAAGATCTAATGGACCATTCATAAAACCCACAGTTAATAATACAATGCAAGTAATTGCTAAAAGAGGGGCATTCTGGTTCAGGTATACATGCAGCCAGGATTTCATCTGTGCTGTAAAAGGAATAGTATTTTCACTTCAAACCTGATATGAATTATACGCTTTTTGTACTACATTTCCCACTCTTTGGCAATCAGTACTGCATCAGTCTTCCCACATGCTATTGACCGGTAAAGCTATTTCATAATATCTGCTTGCAGACCAATGATGTTACTCCAATTCTTTAGTAATGTTTCTTGTTTACTGACGTCTTCCCAGAACAACTTTTAGCCAATTCAATTTTACAGTTATGGATGCTAAATGTTTGAAATCACTCTCAAATACTTCATCATGTGCTGTTCAACTGTGTCTTAAGCTCCCAGACTGATTCCAAAACTAACAGTTGGATCTGGAGTTGGTCAGCTGTTGAACAAGCTATTTACACATGTCAGCATCAAAGCACCTCGGCCAATAATTAGCCACTTCTTTTAAAATTTATGTGTAGAATCCTTACATTGTACTTGAAGAGCAAGGTTGTGATTATTAGATATTTAGCTTATTTTTTAAAGAATATTTAGCTTCTTCCAGTTGGAAGATAGTAGAAAATGAATTACTAGATAGGGAAAGACATTCCTATAATGTGCATAATATGAACTGCATTTATAAAAAAGCAACCTTAAACCCTTTTGCTGATAGGTATGAAGTCAATGATAGTCATAAAAGGCAGGCTCGATAGTGAGAAAAGCGTGTAGTATTAGGAGGATTATAGACTCAGTTGTTTAGAAAGCAGAAATTTAAGAAGACCTTTTGTGGACATAGTGATAGCCATGGTGGGAAGTGCTTCTGGCACGAATGTGTACTGCAGCAAAAGTAGGGTGAAGGTAAATATGAATAATAGCTAAGCACTTATAAACAGGTGCAGCACATTTTGTCTTCCCTGGAGGCTTGCCACTGTTATGTGATAGCTCAGCTTCTGTACAGCTGGGGTGGCAGTGATATTGAATGCACATCACTCTGCATAAGGCACATAAACGAATATGTCCTGATAAAGTCACATTAGAGGTGCCGAATGCTCATTCAGTAGTTAACAGGATAATATTATTTAATATTAATACGGAATTTCTCTACCTTTTGCATGTTTGTCCCAGAAAATCAACCTGGTATTTAGGTGAAATTAAAAGCTATCTTGATAAAATAATTACTGTACCTCTTTTCTACTGGCTACAATCTTGGTAGCTTTTCAGAGGTGCACTTTGCATTGTTGTAGATACAAACATCTAGGTTGTTAGATACATTTCTGACACAGAAATTTATCTTATTCCCACATCCAGAGTTCATTTTCAACCCACTAATCTACAGTATTGCTGCACTTTAATTTTTTCCCTTTTATTGCCAGGTTTCTCAGTTTTCCTCCTCCTGATTCTTGGCCCCCCACTTTTTTCTTTCTCCTGCATTTTCCTCACCCCACATCTCTCTCATTTTCTTAAAATCCTTGGTATTAATATCACTTCCTGTATATTTGTGTTTTGCTCATTTTAATGGATGTCTTGCATGCGGTACATAATCATTTCATAAGCCACCCTGAGATCGCTTGATAAAGGGTTTGCTTATAAATTGATGGTGTTGATAGTTGTAGTAATAATAATAATATTAAACAATTTCCTTCTTTCAAGGCTTAATTTGTATCAGAGTCAACCCCATAACCTATTTAATATCAGGGTTGCGTTTCTGTGTGCATAGGGATTTCCCCTCAAGACCAAGTAAATCACCACATGCCTGTTTCTATACATTTAGGATTAAGGGAGCATTACTTCTAGAGTAGGTAACATTCCTTCCAGCCCAAGGAAATAGCACACTTTCTTTTTACAAATCATTCATACCCAATTCAAATATTCTTTACCCATCATTAAATAAACATTAGGGATGGGAAAGATATTCTGTTCAGTTTGCATTTAAAGGTAAACCTCCCTAATTCACTTTACAAAATAACACAGGAACTGAAACAGCCATGCACTTTTTGGAATTTTGCAGTGCAGGTTTCCAGGCAAGTAATACGTACAAAAATGCATATAGTAGAGCGAGAAAACTCGCTGCGATCTCCCTGCGATCTGCCGCTGACACTGGCAGCGAGTGGGGGGGGGAATCGGCTTGAGTTCGCTCAAAGGCAAAATTGCACCCGCCATCAAGTCAAATATAAAATGCAGATTTAAAACAGCTTAATTAACAAGAAAATAAAATATTATCATAAACATAGAATTGAGAGAAACCAAAACTGACAGATTTGCACATCAATAGAAACCTTATCTAGTCTATGTACCTTGGGAATTGGGTGCATTTGCCAAAACAATTATGATTTAAAACACAGAGGAAGATCAGATAGATGAGAAGAAAACCTTTCCTGGGATTACAGTTTGTTTTTAAATTATTATTATTTTTAAAAATATATTTTTAAATACTTTAAATAATATGTATTCTGCTTTCAAGTGGATCTCACAAAGCAGTTTACATGAGATTATTGCAGCAATAATAATAGATTTTTCTAAAAAGTTGCAATAAAATGGAAAAGACAACTGTTTAGAAGAAGCTGTCGCTGCTGCTGCTTACTTGCCTCAGGGCTAGATGTTTCTCTCATCCTGTGAAGACAATTGGAGGAATGAGGAACCATCACTGGTAGCTGTTTGAGGTACCAGTAAAGTTAACAGCTTTAACAACTATTTCAATTCGTGTAAGGATATTTCACAGCCAAACATGGTAAAACCATGAACATAAATACTTAGCTCTATCAGGTAGGTTTGCATATTTACCTTCCTATGAAAATACATAGGATTAGGCTACATGCCTTCCCTACCTCCTCCAAGCAGACTCAGCACACTGGGACCCAGTGTACTGAGGAAGGCCTGTTCAGTATACCAGCTCTAGGGTGCTTGTACAAAGTCTTGTGGGGCCATCTAGGTACCCTTGAGATTTCCCAGAGCATCCCTAGCCCCTCAGACAAGGCAGAGAGCTTAAAAGCTCTTTTCACATCTGGTCTGCTTGGGTTACTGGCAGTAGGGAGGTGAGGGAGAATATATTTTCCTCAGTTCCACCATCGCCCTTTGTTAGCCCTCTAGAACCTATTTTCAGGATAGGGACTGCAAGGAGAATGAAGAATCCCACTTCCACTGGTGTGAGTGCCCTGTGGGTGTAGTCTGCTCAGTGAATGCTTCCTTCAGTGGGAACAAACTTAGGATCTTAAGTGGCTTATGTTAAGGCTTATAAAATTGTGCATGGCACATTCATTATACTAGAACTTGGGATTGCTCAATGAAGTTGATTGTTAGTAGATTCGGGACAACAAAATGAAGTACTTTTTCACACAACACATAGCTAATAGAATAGTAATCTGTACTAGCGTAGCAAATTCTAAGGGTTAAAATCCTGAATTATAGGTGATGGATCTATGTAGATGGTTACTCCATGCGTCGAAGAGAATTACCATCACTTTTATGCTCTGCTTGGAAGCTTCC